TTTCTTGATTCGGTCAGCCCGCGATAAAAGCTATGTAATAGCTTAAAAATCCTTCTATAGAATAAAAAAAATGTGCTTTCTCCTTACGCTTTACAAAACTCCAATCCTCAGTAACTCCAACACCTACCTACTCAACTAGAATGCAAGAAACAGCTGACGAGTAAGTAACTTTTTATCTCAGCTTATTAACGTCTCTAAAAATTAGGTACCTACCTACAACTCGCAACAACTCAAAACAAAAATTCTTTGGTCACCAATTAATTAATTATTAAAAAGCTGAACAGCTGACTACGAATGTTATAAAATCACAACCCTCAAACATCTAAATATTATATATGAGTCTAGCTGTTGTTCTTAATACCGAGAAAATAAAACCAGTTTTTAGTGGTATATGTTGTTATAGTAGCAGCAGAAACACTTTGTGAAAATTTCGAAAACTATCTAATGACACACAGACGGTAAAAAAAAATCTAGTATTATTCATACACACAGATAATAAACAAATATTATTAATAATAAAATACCACGTCTTTACTTACAATTATGCAAAGTAACAAAACACACATGCACCGAAGTTTTAACACAAGCGTAAGTAGGTAGGTACCTATTGCATCATGATTCATTCAGAACCGCATATAACCACCTATTTCACTCGTCTCAATAACTTTCCGTTACTCTATTCGCTTTATTTGTTAATCCAAACACCTTTTTTTTCGTGAGATAAAAGGAAATACTAATCCATTAAAAAGACACACATTATGTACCTACCTACTAGTAAGTAAAATTATTTTATAGTCTTACCTTTCAGAGTTTCCAGGTAATTTAAAAAAACGTCTGGATGCGTTATTGAATAATTCATACAACCAAAAACAGCACAATATTTCCTACTCGTCATATTAACTGATTTTTAGAAAAAAAATCGCACGGTTATTGTTAAAAAAACAACACACCGTCCGTTCGACACTGCGGTACAGCCGTGACTGTCTGCGCCCCGAGCGCACCCCGAGATCGGGGCGCGTAGGTATAGCTCGCGTTTCGTCCGTTTGTATGAAGTTGGAGTACTGTATTATAATAGTACCGTGCCTCTGCCTATGATCAGCAGTGGACTGTTAGAGGATGTTATTGGGATAATGTAAAACAATTTTCCCAATTCGACTGTTTTTTAACGTTTGTTGGCTCAGACCTATTATTTTTTTTTTTATTTGAAATGTATATTTCCTACTTAGGTCTTATTAAAATTTTAAGAAAAATTCGCAGCCTCAACCGGAGTACTAGTGACCGGCCTCATAGGGAACCAGTGCTAAGCTACTGTTTCGTTGATGTTTGTTGAGTAAGTGAGGTTACCTCTTCCCTCTAACACTTGAGACATAGAAGGAGGCAACGCATTTGACTTAAGGCCTCGATATTTCACCGCACGTTTTTTGTTCCCCAAAATACTGTGACACATAGGGTCTATACAGGACTATCCGTATGGCTGAAAAAATTCACTCGCAAACAAATAGGCTGCAAAGTGAAGTAGATTTGGCTATGGCATATCAGGAAGAAATGGCTATTCGCAATGAGTGCTAGATGTATCTCTAACCGCGAAATATAATAGGCGAGAATAAAAACTCGCGGTGAAATATCACAGTGCGGATAGAGCCTCACTAGTGTCCATGTGCGATGGTAATCACTTACCATCCGTTGATCCATCTGCAAGTTTGTTCCCTACACCTGGTTGACTATTGTCAAACACCTGTTTGACTGGCCTGTTGGTCTAGTGGTTAGTGACCCTGACTGCTACGCCAGAGGTCGTGGGTATGATTCCCACATTCATTTGTTCTATGTCTGGGTGTAATTTATCTATAATATGTATGTATTTAGAAATATATAAGTATGTTTCTCAGCAGTATGGTTACAGGCTCTGACTAGTTTGGGATTAGACGGCCGTCTGTGAGATGTGTGAAAATATATTATCTTATATATAAAATTCTCGTGTCACAATGTTCGTTCCCGTACTCCTCCGAAACGGCTTGACCGATTCTCATGAAATTTTGTGTGCACATCGGGTAGGTCTGAGAATCAGCCAACATCTATTTTTCATACCCCTAAATGGTAAGGGTGACCCATCCCTAATTTTTTTTTGTTTTGCAATACAACGTTTGCCGAGTCAGCTAGTTATATTATTATATTATTACACCATAATAAACAGTACGAGCTTTAGAACTTATTAAACTTTAGTTAAATTTATATAAATATGTGTGAATTTGAATATATTGCCTCACCATCAAAATGTGTATGCAAACATCGACTTATTTAAATACAAGACTTACCATATATAATTGGGCAAGTATATGTTTTATAGACATTTAGAGCGCATAATAATATTGTTTTTTTTAATTGACTTCAATTAAAAGGAGGAAGTTCTCAATACACCTGTTTTTTTTTATGTTTGTTACCTCAGGAACTACGTCATTCATAAACTGATTTGGAAAATCACGTACTGTTATTCAAACTGAAAGAAAAAACTCCATAACTAAGGGTTCAAATTAAGGAATAAAAAAGCCGAGTTAAACAACACTTCAAATTGTATTTGAAATTTAAATAATAGACTGCACGGATGGCGTAGTGGTTTAAGCGGTCGCAACGGCGCTCACTACTACGCTGAGTGTTGTGGGTCCGATCCCCACATTTGACGACATTTTGTGTGATCCACAAATTGTTGTTCTGGTCTGGGTGTTCTTTGTGTCCGTTTCATGTATGTTTGTAAAGTCCCCCGCAACACAGGATATATTACTAAAGCGGGAGTTGTCTTTTTTCAAACTATAAAATTAATAATAACTATAATACCTATAAAATATCACTATTGATGCGGAAAATAACTTATACACATACGTAATCACCAACACACCGAGTTTACTTGAGCAATATTGCTTTGACTGATCTGACGGGACGTTTTTCCCTCACATAAAGGCAAATATAAAAAAAACCAGTCAGGTACGAGTCGAACTCGTGCGCCGAGAGTTCCGGGGCCTACCCAGATTTTACGTAGTTTTCTGGCAAATTTGTAAGTACCAAAATTTTTAACTTTTTTTATTTTTTGGAATTATTCCTTTATTTGTGCTGTAAGACGTTTCTTTTTGCCAAATTCCGTGATACTAGGTCGACGGGAACTACCATATAGGTTTTCGACCCAAAACCTACAGGGTACTTCCGGTTGACCTAGAATTTACAATTTTATTTAAAAGCAAGGTCTTACAGCACAAGTAAAGAGAAAATTCTGAAAAATAAAAAAGTTGAAAATTAAAGTAAATTTTGGTACTTACAAGTTTTCGCGAAAATTGAAATTTGCCCATAATTTCTTATTGTGTTGACTCAGGACCTTGATTTTTATACACCTAGTCGGGACCATAGACCTCAGTATCTGGTATAAACAACTTGCTAGGTCTACCCATTCCTGAGAAAATCGGTGGTAACACACGGACAGACGGATAGACGGACAAGAAAGTGATCTTATAAGGGTTCCTTTTTTTACCTTTTGAGGTACTGAACCCTAAAAATGTATAAAAATAAATAAAATATTTACTATTACTATCGTTATATATCTCAATATTATTATCGTTGTATTTGTGGAACAAGTTTTCGACTGGTATTTCGGGATCGATACTACCCTCAAGAAAAGAGCGTACACCTTCCTAAATGGCCAACAATCAACAACTTTTTTTGTTCATTAAAAAAAATATGATGACAAACTAAATATAAAATTTAATTAAACTTTCATCACGTGATTTTGTTAAGTATGGATATAAGAAGGGCTCCAAGAAGCAAAAAAAAATTTAGATCAATCGTTTAAACTTTTATATCGACTTTTGTAAGAAGAGAGATCTGATAAAAATTAGTTAATTAACAATCGTATAACTTTTTGAAAACTAGACATATTTTTTTTAAAGTGAAATCTTTAAGCGCGTTGGGCATTTTTGAACAACAAACAAAAGAATATATGTTTAAGAATATATCATCATCATCATCATCATCAGCCTATCGCAGTCCACTGCTGGCCATAGGCCTCTCCCATTGCACGCCACTTAGATCGATTTTGGACTTCACGCATCCAGCTCATTGAACTCGCAACACTGTTACCGACACCTCTGTATATAGGTATTTACATGTATTGGCCCGGTTTACACGAGTAGTTTGGGTTGAAATACATTGATAATATAAACATATATTGTGTAAATACGTACAACATAGTCTATATATTCATGTCGGAACTTTTCAAATCGAAATGAACACAATAAAAAATAATGATATAAGCAAAAATTTGAAAAATTTCAAGTTTTCACTTCTGTCAGCACTGCCAGAGTGCCACTGTTGTTTTTCCAACGAGCTTTTATTCTTTCAAGTGTTCTGATGCCACCATTTTATTTTTCAAATTTTTAAAACAATATTTAAATACTATAAAAATAATATTTTGTGTCATATTCTGTCGCAAGCAGCGTTACGCTCATGCTGTAACATGCTGACCTATTTTCGGCTTTGAATAAAAATTATAAATAATTCAGATATACTTCCAGGGGTCCGGATTTCATATTGGTAATTTCATTCTCTTTGAGAATCCTTGTAAAAAAAACTTAATAGCTTTTTTAATTATTTTGTTAATAACAATTACAATTGTTTATGTGATAATAAATGTTCGAGATACATTATTCTAGACGTCCTTTCAAATCGATTGAGCTACCGTTCATATTTTTAGGACCAGGAAGAATTAACACGTTTTTTAATTTGTTGACTGGACTATAATAAGAAGGTTGTTTTTTTCACATAAAAATATTACATTTATTTATATTAATTTCATTGTAACTTTAAAATTAATACATAAATTTATGTGATGATAACTTTCAGTATTCTTTCAATAAACGCCAATACGGTAGTTTCTATACATTTTCGTATGAAATCACAATGTATGACGTCACACCTTAGTACTGTCAAATTACATAAATTAAATAAAAATAAACACTTACCAATAAACATGCAGTCTTGAAATACATCTTATTACACAACTGTACACAGGTTTTTAAAAAAAGATTTTAAACAGTAAAAAAGAAAATACCGTAGACAAAATTAAAAAATAGATTCTGTCAATTTGAACCGTTCGTTCGGAAACAAGCGCGCGAAACGACTGTTTCACCACAAATTACATACAATATAACCTGCGACCTCTAGCTGGCGCGACCGTGCAATGTTTACTTAATTTGAAAGGATAAGAGGTTCTTCTACCTAAGACTTGTTAGGTAAGTTATGTATGTACATATATTAGTAGTGATCACCAGCGCCTTTGTCAACAGCTGGGCATGGGTCTATTCTTAACGGCGCCAAAGTACACGGTCGCCCATCTTCCGCATTCAGTCTTTTTTTTATGGTAAAAGGGGGCAAACGAGCAGACGGGTCACCTGATGGTAAGCAACTACCGCCGCCCATGGACACCTGCAACTCAAAAGTCACAAGTGCGGTTGCCGCCCTCGATTTGGGCTCCGGTAACTTCACTCACTCAGTGAAAAGCAACGAAAGAATTGTTTAACACCGGTTTTCTGTGAGGCTGTGGTATACCACGGCTTCACAGAAAGCCGGTCGAGCCTGCCCATTCGTGCCGAAGCATGGCTCTCCCAAGTAAAAAGACTAGTCTATCCTGGATACCATTTTTAAGCTGTTAGACGGGACGCTTACCATTCAGATAGTTAAAAATCTTTGCTTTAAGAATGACGGAAGGTTGGAATTAGTCATTCTTAAAGCATAGATGTAAAGGTGCGCTAATGCTACATAACACTGTTCTGCATTTGAGGTAGATAGAGCTCTATCTTTGAGATTTAGATGTGAAACATCTAATGCTGAGGGTAAGACCGGCTGTTGGGTGGCCACGCGTCGCCACGGCATGCGTCGCCTGTAGCATTCACAAAGAATAATAAACTATTTATCTGTTATCTAATTATCCTTATTTATAGAATCAGAAATTATTTTTGAACAAATTATAAATAATTAAATCAAATTAAATTTAAAATCACTGTTAAATTCATTAAATAAAATTTAAATACTAATAGCATTGCAACAAGTTGAATATTGATAATTATAATATATTTAGTAATTAATTATTCAACAATATAATATACGGTTACATTGATTATATATATTTTTATATATTTTTTTATGATAGAGGGGGCAGACGAGCAGACGGGTCATCTGATGGAAAGTGACCATCGCCGCCCATGAACGTCTGCAACTCAGGAGTCACAAACGCGTTGCTGACATTTTAGGAAGGCAACGCGTGACCTTTTTTTAATTAAATATAACTTTTATTAAATTAATGTGAGCTGTTTATTGATAGTAAATTTAAAATGGTCTGTAGTATTACCGAAGATTTATTATTTATTTATTTATACATCATACACTTTTGGTGCATTGGCGGTCTTAATGCCTAAGCCTTAGGCCTTACCCAAAGGTTCACCTTTGGGTAAGGCCTGCTTTGGGTCAGTCAACCTATGGGTGATGCAGAGAAAACAAGAAGTAATAATAATAAATAATAATAATATTCTACCACATTTACACAACGCCGTCTAGTCCCAAACTAAGCAGAGCTTGTACTATGGGTACTAGACAACTGATATAAATACATATATACTTTTGTAAATACATACATATTATACATAGAAACACCCAGACCAAATCAAACATTAAATGTTCATGCACACAAATGTTTGACTTGAGCGGGAATCGAACCTGGGACCTTTAGAATAGCAGTCCGTTACACAAACCACTACGCCATCCGGTCGTCTAAATTGGTTAGTCATCCTAATTATTGGAGTGTTTACCAAAATTTGTGCGACAGGGGGGAGCCTTGAGTAAACCTGGATAGCGAGGTAGTCTGCTAGGTACATCAATATAGAATTTTCTCAGGAGACTCGTACAGTAATTTCTATTATTGTTGGTTGGTTCCTGTTGGTCTAGCGGTTAGTGACCCTGACTGCTAAGTCGGTGGTCGTGGGTTCTATTCCCACCCAGTACAAATATTGTGTGATAAGCACGATCATTTGTTCTATGTCTGGGTGTAACTTATCTATAACTAGTGATCCGCCCCGGCTTCGTACGGGTGCGATGTAGATACTACTAATATAGTTCCAGTGTGGAGTAATTAATTATACTATTATTATGATAGGACTATACTACAGGACATCTTTGAATTTAAAAGGTATTTATAGGACCGCTCCGATCCTGCCGGCCGCTGCCACCCCGGACGGGCGTACAGCTCGACGGTCGTTGGGCCCCCGCGTTTTAAACCTCTAATATCTTCTAAGATATTTGTACAGCAGGAGATTGATTAAAACAATCAGTACTTAAATTCATTTAATTATTTTGGTAATACTACTTACACTACATCCTTACAAATCTTAATATCGCTAATAACTTTACTGTAAGCAATAATACAAATATTTAAGTGGCAATACAATTAATTTAGATACAGGTCTTCTTATTATAGATCCCTTGCAACGTAGGGAAACGACCCTCGTGATCTTGTCAGTATGTTTCTTTACTATGAGACCGTAGAGCCACCGTGCGGGAGGCAAATCGTCCTCCATTATTAACACTACGTCACCCACATTAGCTTCCACGGATAGATGTGCCCATTTGTGCCTTTGATGCAATTGTACAATATGACCATTTGCGCCAGAAACCTTGACCTAGGCGTTGAGTCAATGGGGTGCTGGCTAGAAAACCTCCTCGTGGTGCACCCTGGAAACGCTGGCGATGGTACTGTTTCCTCCTTGTCCTCTTGGAGGAGAGGATTATCGCCAGCGGCTAATATTCTAGCAGAAGAGGTAGCCGTTCATCGGCTCTCGGGCAAGGCCTGGTCCAGCAGGGTGGGCGTGTCTGCCGGTTGCCCTGTTGGCTCTTCGCTCTTCGGAGCATGGAGGAGGAAACCTCGGTAAAAAACCAGAAGGTGGGGCCCTGTAGGGGCCAGTTTCTCCGCTGATAGCGGTGGAGAAAGGAGGACGGGCTCGGCGTGTACTGACACTACCACCGAGCAGGCAGGGGGACGTAGTCTCCCTGTCACCGTCGGCATATCGTAATCCCGAGAAGAGCGCTGTGGTCAAGTCTCGCGGCTCTGATCGGGGACGAGGGTCTTGGCTTAACCGCCCGGACCGCGAGGATGTAAACCTCTCTAAAAAATGCCCCGAATCCCGTGTTCTGGTGCGTGGCCAGGGGATGCATGGCTGATGGGTAGTTCAGTCGTAAGCGCACTCCCAGCCGGGGTACTTGCGGACCCCTCGGTTGGGCATAAATTTACGCTTGCCCGGGTATTGGGGGATCTCTGCCCGGGTGGACCTTTAGTTCTCCCCCACTCGTGGGTTTAATTATGGCAAATGACAGTAAAATTAATAACAAAGGATCGATACAAACAACAAAAAAGGCGAGCACAATGGAAAAAGGAACGATGGGAAACAAGAAGGAGGAGTCGCAGAGGAGGAGTGGTGGAATAGATCTGGCGTCCACTGAGGTAGTGTCTGGAACGCCTATCTCGGTGGGGCTCCCGGTAGTAGTCTGTAGCAGACTGCCTGCTGGGAGCCGAAGATCGGAGCGCTTGCGCTCCAAATCTGCCACCACTGGCGCCGGTGAAGGCCCCAGCGAGAGGACGGACAGCTCGGAGCGCATGGAAGTGGAAGCGGGACCGAGCGAGAGCCGCAAGAGGGAACTCTCGAGGGATGGGGAAGACAACCCATCCGTGGAGTCTGGGCCTCCTAAGGGCGGCCGTATAGGTAGGTCGCGTACCCCTGTCCCCGTCCCGTCAGGCTCCGCCTTCTCCAAGGCGGATTCCTACAGACGGGTACGAGCGGACGGCGAGGCCGCAGCGGAGGAGGAGATCGCGGATCTCCTGCTCAAGATTCGGGAGCCGGTGGAGGGAGACGCCCCCCGGGCTCCCGTGTCTGTGCAGGAGAGGGCGAGGGCGGCGGTGGCTATCGTCCAGAAGGTAGCCACCAAGTCAATTAACCTTAAGGGCTCTTTTGTGAGGGCCCTTAAGGACTCCTCCTCCGCTATGTCGGAGGTCGTGGAGGGCCTAGTAGGCGACGTATCTCGCCTACAGATGGCCAATGACAGGCTGACGGAGCAGGTGAACGCACTGAGCGCTCAGTTCGCCCGCTTCCGGGCGAACCTCCCCGAGCGGGGGGCCCCGTCCACGCCCCAGCCTGTCCCTACCGCGACCTCAGGGGTGCCTGACGCCCAACTGCGGTCAATTCTTGACGCGGTTGGGCGTATGCTGGACGGCCGTCTGGCCGGTCTGGAGGCGAGATTGCCTCCTGCGCCGGTCGTGCGCCCCCCGCTCGCGTCGTCGCAGCGGCCTAAGGCTGCTGCTCCGACTGCGCTCCCTGTTATGGGAGGCCGCGTGTCATACGCGGCGGCGGCGTCGGCGTCGGCCCCGACTCCACCACCGGCTCCCCAGGGGCCGAGAAGAGCGGCCAAGGCACCGGCCCAGGCGCCAGTCAAGGCGCCGGCCCAGGCACCGGCCAAGGCGCCGGCCCAGGTGCCGGCCAAGAGTAAAGCGGCGAAGAGGAGCGGAGTGGCTTTCCCTCCGCTCCCCACTCCGACATCCCTGCCGGGCCCCTCCGCACCTGCCCCCTCCAACGAGGGTTGGCAGGAGGCGAGGGGCTCAAAGAAGTCCCGAAGGCGGGCTAGAAGGGCTGCCCAAAAAGCGGCCCAAGCCCAGCCTTCACCACCGGTGACAGCGGCCTCGACTAAGAGGCCGCGGAAGCTGCAGCCGCCCAAAACCGCGGCTGTAGTAGTGACGCTGTCGCCGGAGGCGGCCAGTGGCGGGCTCTCGTATGCGGCCCTCTTCAAGGGGGCCAGGCCCGGTCTCGCCACTGAGTTCGGGGCGGCGGGGATGAGGCTGCGCCGCGCACAGACGGGGGCTCGAGTATTCGAGTTCCCTGGGGCTGAAGGCGCGGCGACGGCCGATAAATTCGCCGAGAAGCTGCGGGGGATTTTCGCCAGCACGGACGGT